TTGCCAACATCACTTGGATAAGCAATTTTGTGAAAAAACTGAATAATGAAATGCAAAATCAATTCTATCCCCACATAATGCTTTTTTAATTTTAATTATATAATTATATTTAAAATTTTTAGCTTCCATTTTGAAACATGATTATTATTAATGTATATGAAAAAACATATTTTAATCAGTTAATTTATATATATATATATATATATATATATATATATATATAAAAGGCAGGATGTGTGTGTGTGTGTGTGTGTGTGTGTGTGTGTAACGAATGCACGGCCGCAATTTTCGACGGATTTGCACCAAAATTTACATGCACATGCTCCAAGTTAGCGGGAAGGCCAAGACCGACTTTGCATTTCCCAACTCCCATCGATAGTGGAAATAATCGATTTTTTCATGCTTCTACGGCAGTTTTCATGTAGTTTGCGGCCATTTTGTACTGGCCAGAGTGAGAGCCAATAGCTGGCTGCCACGAATAGGCAGGAAGATTCTATTGGCCAGCGTGAGAGCCAACAGCTGACTGACACGAATGTTAACTAGCATGCTAGCATGCAAAAAAATCGATAGCTGCATTCGTCACAAGTGGGAAAAATTTAAATCTGCATGGCACTTTACTCCAATTGGCTCATTCGCTTGCTTAAACTCAACGTTGATTCTGATTCCGCAGAACTGGGTTGGGTGTGAAAAAGTATTTGTTGTTAACATTCTTTTTTCATTCGGTTTTTCCAGTTACGAGTCCTTTTTTTAAAGCTGATCGTTTTGTGTTCATTTTGTTTAGTTCTTTTTTTGTAACAGATTTAATGTTTAGTATAGAGCTTAGAAAAAATTCGCAGTGTGAGATAGGCAAGAAGTAAGGCATGTAGCAACATCAGCACGGCAAAGGGCACTCCTTTAAAGGCAAGGAAGGGCAAAAATATTTTAAGTCAAATGATAGCGATTGCTGTATGAGTCGTACGATTTTTGAATCAAGCACGGGCAACGCCGGGCCATTCTGCTAGTATATATATATATATCCCTCACTTTGTGGCCGCAGTAGTTTCTATACATTTATATTCCAGAGAATGTAAATAAATCTTAAAAGCATAATCAGTATTTGATTCATTCATTTATTTTCTACGGTTTATCAACCATTTGTAGGATATTTAAGGACAGAAAATATTTTTATATACTAAGAATTATTTTTGAGATAATAATGATTTAGTGATACGATTTTTACTAATTAAGTTATAGCTGGGGGGAGAAGAGGTTGATTTGTACCTTTTCCCAGGGGTATTTGCGCGTAACTTAATATAACGAACCCAACTGGAATTAGAAGTCGGCTCGCGGATAAATAATCCATTACACCACCCGCACATAAATTATTATAATGTGGAAAGAAGAACACTTAAGGCATTAAAAGCAAAGAGAAGTAGAGAAAAACAGCGAATAATAACAAATTTGACGGATCAGTTGACATAAAGAGAAAAAGGCGACCATAAAAGGCAAAATATTACTCAGAGCTACAAAAATCAAGAAGCTGTGGAGAGCTATGATAGTACACATTCTGAAGAGATACGGCACATCGATAGAGAATGGGCAAGTATTAGCAACCCACTGAACAGTTTCTATGAGGTTTGTTGTCGCCATATAAAGTGAGAAGCTCTTTGTAAGTTTATTTTACATACCATGTTTTTTTCTATTCTTGCTATTAGCAAGAATTACAGGCACATCTAACCGTAACGGCAGTCCAACTAAAAGATGCTACCTTCCGTACGCCCGGGTGTCGCTTCCCACCCTCCAAACGCAGGGTATTCAAGGAGTCAGCAGTAGAGTATTATCGTCAATTGAATGAAACCGAATACAAACTTATATAAACGAGGAGGCGAATTGGATTCCAGTTTCGTACATGATTAAGCGCTGGTGACAGTATTATTTAGATAGAAACTTGACACCACTTTCTCTTTGTTTCGACTTGCTTTTTCTTTTTCTTTGTTGAGTCTTTATAAAAAAAAGAGCTTGTACAGCGATCGCATGTTTGTCTTTTCCTTTTCTTTTTCTTTGCAGTCTGTCTGGGTCAACAAAGAAAACTGGAAAAGAAAAGACACTGGAATTACTGAAAGGTTCAAGGCTAATTCATAAATTTTTCGGCTTTAAAATTCTTCTGTTATCAAACATTTGAAATGATAGTTACTGCGTATATATTTAGAATTATTTTATGCGTTTTTCTTCTCTTCTTAGCATTCTGTAGCCGTGCCCCATTCTTCAGCTGGAAAACTGAATTGTGGAACATCTTATGTATTTAGAAACAGCTTCAAACGTGACTTGAAATCGACGTTTTCTTTGGAAGCTTGTTGACATTGACAGCACCTTACTGGTTTGTTAATGCAGGTGACATTTAAATTTTGTCATATTCTTCCTTATCCGTAATATTTTCTCATTGGAGCAAATGTTTCGTGTCCATAAAAATAAATAAAAATTAATTATAATGTCAAACAATAATTATAACAATTCACTCATTCTTAACCAATGAGAATCGACCCTACTTTTCTCCTCTAGACACACAGATATTTGACACTCTCACTATCGGAGAAGCAGTTCACACGGACAGGTCGTCAACATGTGGGTCAACGAAAATTTTGTCTCCTTTTCCTTTTCAGGTTATAATAGTAACATTTAACTTTTAGTACACAACAAAAATTCGAGGTAAGGAAACACCAGACACTTCTTGTAAATTATGTGGCCAATCATTAAACACATCTATTAAAAACTAACATACGAGAAAGACTGTATACATTTTGCTTATTCTTTAACTTATCCTTCTGTCGGATTCCGATCTGTATTTGATCTACATTTGACTCCAAACTCACAATTTTACTCAGTATTATTGTCTCTCATTTCCCAACACCAAATAACAACCAGATAATAAATAAGACCACGTCTTTCCACGTCTTGCTGTTTCTCATTTTTATGAGTATTTTTTGTATATATAAATGTGAGGAGGTTTATAATTATTTACTTAGAGTTATAACAATGTAGGCGTAATAATTTCAGTATTATTCCATTGCGTTTTAGATAAAGTACGGTATTTATGCGAACGTCCATTCAAATTGACTATGGCATAAGAACAAATTTAAAATGAGAATGAGTACAGGGGTCTAAGGAGAAAGATGGCTCAAACACCCTCTCTTTTGAGAATGCCTCAAGTGCCAGAGATTTACCTTAGTCTTTCCCTTTGCGAGAGGTAAAACTTGGGAGAAACACTCTCCACCCCCGGAACTGACTACGATTAATTCTCCTTTTGTAGCCTTATATCTTCATTATATTTCTCCATGTCAGACGGGTTTGTAAAGATACAAGATTCAAGTTCAAATCATGCGGGGGTTAATTCTTTATTTCCGAGTTCTCTTAGTGGTCGTAGAATGTAAAATCGACCTTTGCGTTGCGTTAAAAATCAACAAAAATAAGATTAATTAGTTTTTTGTTGGTTGTTTTTACTATAATATTTCGGTTAAATTCTTCGACCTTCCGAAACAAAGTGATCAGCTGATGAGTATACTCGTCTGAATAATTTGTAGAGTAATGTTTCATTTAATAATTTCAGACAGTAGATTTAGAAATAAATAGATATATAATAATAATATAAAATATAAATAAATAAGACAGGTATTGAACTCACAATGAACTCAAGGGCACATGGCCCGGTGGATAAAGACGTTGGTTAGATCCAGTAACTAAATTCAAAGCGTTGTGAATTCAGTATCAGGCTACAGTACTTGTGAACCAAGTTAAAGCGAAATAACTGAGACATCAGAAAGAGGCATACCCTGTGGATTTGTAGCAAACTAAACGCAGCTCAATAAACTTATTGGGTTTGTTTGGTGACTAAGGTAGATCCGCGGGCGCCATTGGTCGCGGTTCAAGCTGAGGTAGAAGCATGATTTCACATAAAGATTGTCAGTACAAGCAGTTACATTAGACCGAGAAGAATGGCGAAACATAATCATCCATTTCCTTTTGTAGGCCTGTACTTGTCGCTTCCCCTCAGTAAATATCTATATAGGTTTCATTTTAGCCAGTTTGTCTGTTTTAGAATTAGTTTTCAGATGCAAAGCGAGGCAGATTCACAGGGACACAGTTTGACGATGAACAGCGATCAGAAGGTAGGTTTAGGTATGTAAGCTCATAGCGATGCTTGAGATGGATAAGGTCGACCATTTTCCCTTTTTGTGAGGTGAGGGTAGGGAAAGAAAAATGCGATGCGAATTAAGGATTATTAATCTGTCATGGACATTTGGTCAAAGATTCTATAAAATTAACAGGTATAGGAATTTAAATATCTGGGAAGTGTTCTAACTCTTGGGACATGTAGTAAATGCACAACTCTTTCGACCACCAAGTAATCTTCTGGTGGAACCAGTCTTAAATAGACTGATTACTAAAGCGTCGACTGTTTTTATTCACTTTAAAAAGTAATTACAACTTTAATGTCGGAGTTTATTTACTAGTCTTTTTTTTTTACATAAGATCGCTAGAATGAGACACCTTGTGAGGTTCGTACTCACAACACGAGCGAATTGATTTGTAAAATGAGGTTGCAAACTAACCCTTGCACTACAGTAGGCTCTGTAATGAGAGCGATGTAGAGGTTGTCATACTGTATAGCTTCTCTTAATGTGAAGGGTAAATTCTTAATTCGTTGTTGGCAGTGGAAAAGGAAAAGACGACCGATCGATGGAGGTCGATGAAATTTTTCAGATTCTTTGCCAGTCGGAAGGCAAGACAGGCGTCCATTACTAAGTGCTCTACACAACTCTTCTACAAAGACAACCATTTCTCCCTCTGATTGAATTTTTTCTTCCACTGTGTGACGCATTTGCTCGTCTTTCTTTTGAAGCTGACAAGCATTTCTGTCTTGACAAAACACATCTAAAATTAGAAACGTTTTTAAGAGAATGGTAAGTAGGACAAAAAAAAAAAAAAGAAAGAAAAAGGAATTGGGCTTTGAAAGATGCTCTTTCCTAAAGAAGAAAAAGAGGGGAATGAAAAAAGGAGAAATTAGTTGAAAAACAAGAATTCATAAAAAGAGAAGAGGAAAGAAAAAAAAGAAAAGAAAGGCAGATGAATGAGAGAATGAAAGAAGAAAAAAAGGAAAGAGAGAAGAAAGAGAAGAGGAAAAAGAAATGAAAGAGAGAGAGAAGACTAATTGAAAGAAAGTAGAAATTGGAAGTATAGAGAGGGTAATATGAAAAACAGAGAGTGAAAGAGCAAGAGAGATAGAGATAGAGGAACCGAATAAAAATGTGTGTGTGTGGGCGAGTGTGTGTGTGTGAGAGAGAGAGAGAGAGAGAGAGAGAGAGAGAGAGAGAGAGAAAAAAGAAAGAAAGAGGGGAGGGAGAGAAAAACGATGGGGGGAGGGGGATATTACGAGAAAATGAAACTTCCGGCACTATGACAGGACCTCGACTGCCTACAGCGACTGTTGTCGTTACACAAATCCAAACTAGCTTTACGAATTGAGTTTTATAGCAAATACGTAGCCTTCTTCTGTAGGAAATGGACGCTCCACAATCTTTTGGTAGAAAAAGGCAGAAATTGAATATCTAATCCAAAAGGCATCTGAACTGACAGTCATTCGCCTCTTGAATTAGACGGGTGAGCTTTCAAAATGGATTTTTCTTGTGAAAGAAATATTTTAATTTGTTTGACAGGAACCAAACTGTATACAATGTCTTTTCAGAAGAGCTCGTTAACCACTACACCATACAGTTAAAAATAAAGTTAAAATAACAAATTCGTAAAGAAGAAAATGACAAAAAAAAAAAAACCCTGAGCCGACCAAGCATAAAAATGAATACACTATGGGAACCAGTAACAAGAAGTGCTAGAAAAAAATCAATGAATAACAACAAAAAATTGCAATATGAGCACTGGTAAAAAAAAACAAAACAAAAAAAAAAACGGTTGCTGAGACATTAAGTTTATAAATCCCAGAAATTCATACATGGATGCCTACCATTCATCCATGCTTAGAATATTGTTGCCACATATGGTCCGGTGCCCCTGTTATTTACCTTAAGCTCCTTGATAAAATCCAAAGAAAAATCAGCAATATTATTAGTCCTGATCTGGCTACTCAGCGTCAGTTACTTTCCCACCGCCTTAAGGTTGCCTCTCTGTGACTTTTCTATAAATACTTTCAAGGTAATTATTCGAATGTGCTCTTTGCCATGGTACCTAGAATTTTTTAATTTAAGCGCAGCACTAGACTGTTGTTGAGATCTCATGCGTCCTTGAGGGGATATGGCCCAGTGCATAAAGGCGTTAGACCCAGTGACTAAATGCAAAGGGTTGTGAGTTCAATACCAGGCTACAATAGTGGTGAACCAAAAGACTTGGAGAGTGAAGTTAAAGAGAAATAACTGAGACATCCGGAACAATCTACACAGGAGGGCGAAATAAAGGGTTTGGTTCGTAATTGTGAAACGTTGTAAATATGGCAATGAAGACGAGGATAACAGTCCGAATAATGTAAAATTAGGAATCTTTATAAATCCTTCTCAGTTTTTATTCAAATTTTACAATCAAAACATCCGGTAGAGTAAAAGGGACGCTAATCTACATAGCCTTATCTCATTTTCTTTTAGTTTTAGAGATGTTTTTCAATTTGTAGCATTTTAACATGGTGTAGATTACTGTAGAAATTCCAATTCTGTGTTGTAACAACTGTTCCAAACTGAAATTGCTCTATGGACCATTAAAATATTACTGTGTATCCTCAACTTGCTACTTTTTGTGTGGACCCCAAGTAATATTCTTGATCTCAGGGTTCATTTGGACCCCGGTTGAGAACGACTGCTTTAAACAAAGACTGTTTTGAATTTCGTAAGGAAATGAAGCATTTTTCCTGGTTTGTTTGAAAAAAAAAAAAAAACTTTCTGACTGAAAATGAAAAATTCCAGACATTTTCCTCTTTGCGCTGTGTCTTTCCTGCATTCGCTCCGAAGAAAATCCCCGACTATCGACTTGGTTTCTCGATACATACCTTACGTCCCCGCCATCTCTACACATAAAATTTCATTCTGTTTTGTTTCTCTTCAACTTGACAGGAATAAGCAGCGATTGCTCTCTTCTCTGGGTTGCTGCTAAGAGAAATCCAGAAACGACCGTATTCAATCTCTTCTTCTCCATTTCCTATATAACCACTTCATATTTTTGCCCGGTCGATTCATTGCATTCATAAATGATAAACCTTCCTGGTACACCTGCACTGAATTAATGTAATTAATTTAGATGGGTAATCTTTCTTACTTAAATGTTAGGTTTCGGATTAAGATGGAGTAATATTTGAAGGTAATATTAATATTACCTTCAAATATTAATTACAAATTACATTCATAAATTAGATTCAAACTGATAAAAATGTTACCGTAACTGTCTTTTACAATATCAAAAGAGTACTATTGGTCGGGTAAACAAACTAATCTTTTTAAAATATGTTCTCTATGTATGTGTTGATAAATACAGTATTTAACTTATATTAAATCCCTAAATTATTTGTAAAAAAGTTAAATATTTAAATTGCTAGCAAGCATCAAATTAATTTCTTCGGGGTTTGTTTGACATCTAAATTACTATCAAACATTAAAATCTATTTTTTACATAAATTGCTAAAACTTACCAACCATCTCCTAAATATGTAAAACCCATTTACAGCCTCTTTCTGTTTACTTCCCTCCCCCTCTTCTTTCTTTTTCCTTTTTCCTTTCTCTCTTCTCCCCACCCATTTCAGTATATCATTTCCGTTAAGCTAACTGTTTAAATAGGTCAAAGTCTGGTCACTCCTCCTTCCCCAATAAAAAGTATTATTGAGAGAGATATTAAATTAAACACTCCCTAAACTCTACCATGTCTCTCTAACTACTCCTATTACACTCTCTGTTAAATTACAAAAAATTACACTACCCATCAATTTTCATTTCATTTTTCGTTTCATTTTTGGAAGTGCTATCTGATGATCCGAGTCCTTTAAAAAAATGGTGAAATAAATTATAATAATGGAACCTTAAAGTGGTCTGTTTTTTTTTAAAATATTAGCTCTGGATTTACGTGAGGTCTCAGGATTTCATCCTCCTTGGGATTATCCATACGGATTACCAAGTTTTTCATAACTTATATATATATATATATATATATATATATATATATATATATATATATATATATGCGTATATTTTGGCAGTATGTTTTCATTGAGATATGTTTTTCGTTGAATAATTAAGACATGTTTTGTCTACTATATTTTTATTTATGTTGGACACACTACGACAACGTTGTCTGATTTTTCATTTGAATATATGTCCAGCATTTCTAAACATTTACTACATACCTGTCCACATTAGCAATTCAGAAAAATCCTTATCGAAAATACTTCTATATTTTTTCACGAAAAGAATAAACGTAAAGTCAAAATTCTCGAAGCTATCTATTTTAAAAAACTGAAACCAAACCTTATGAAAATTAATTATGAATATTCCACAAATGTTTTAAAATGTGTACAATAGATTGTTTGAAATACCAATAGTTTTTTACGTAAAAAAATTTCTCCGCAGCCATACTTAGTTACCTCGCCATAAACGGCGCCAGTGATCACGCACTGCCTCGCGTTCTTCACTCCACAAGTAAGAAATTTAAATTTTAGATAAGCACAACAGTTTTGTCTTTGACAATAATGAACACTACAATATTTATCTCGCAATAAACAATACCCTGATGATAACATTGTGCTATGTCGAAAGTACTCGGAATAAAAGAAATATGTATCAACATGGCGATTTTCTCTCGTCCTTTAATAACGACACCAAAAAGCTTATTCGTGAATATGAAAGGATTCATTTGAAAATAAGTAGACCGAACATGTTTAAATTATTCAACGAATCATGTCTCAATTTACACACACACACACACACACACGCACACACACACACACACACACACACACACACACACACACACACACACACATATATATATATATATATATTAGAACTTTATATTAGAATATATTCGAACTGTATATTAGAATATATTCGAACTATATATATATATATATATATATATATATATATATATATATATATATATATATATATTTATGAATAAATATTGTCTTCTCTACCGATTAAATCGGAGAAAATTATCATATATATATCAGAACTCCTCTTATTTGACAGACAGACATACACAATTAGGAATACATATTACCCGATTAGACATACTATAATTTTTACAAACTTACATTCATATAGAATTATCTACGGTTTTAATGCACGTGATACATTTTTTAAGTATGTAGAGGGGATTGAGAAAAGGTTGAAAGAAAAACGGGGATCAAGGCAATAGAAGATCGCGACTGACGTTGCATTTAATTTTTTCAAGATTGTAGTTACCAGGGAAGTAAGTAAGAGGAAGGGATTTCCATCGTCGGGAAGCGCGAGAAAAGAAAATTCTGGAGTAGAAGTGGCGGTTATATTTAACTACTTAATTTGTAAAAGAGTGGGACCTAGATGCTAAACTAGTTGCAGTCTTAAATTCATGTAGTCGGGGCATCAGGGAAGGTAGCTTATCAGAAGTGTTGAAAATACTTGTAGAAAAGACAGAGAGAAGCCACATCATGTCAATGAGAAAGTGACTGAAGTCGAGATATCAAGTCAGAACCGATTACATTGCAGATCGTTCACTGGATTTTGTCGAGAACCTCGAGATGAACAGCAGGAGCAGCTGACCATATATGGCAACAATATTGAATGCATGAACGAATGTGACTGATCAATGATAATCGACCCAAACAAAATTGAAAATACCAAAGTTCTGTCTGACGAAATTTTGATAAAATGAAACATGCTAGATTGATAAACTTTTCCTATTTGTTCTTTACCTTATCATATATATATATATATATATATATATATATATATATATATATATATTAAAAAATAAAGAGATTTTTGAAAATTTAAAAATCAACCCCAATCAATAGGGGAAACATTGTTCTGTAACCTCTGACGACCAATCAGAATACAAGTATATGAAAATTCTAAAAACGTGACAGTATATTCTAAATACAAACCATTAGTGCATTAAAGTTAATGTTAGATTAAACTAGAAATCAACATGAAATAATTAAGTTCTAATTTTACAGTAACATTACAGATTAAAAATTAAAAATTTCAAATTCTAAATTTAACCGGACATTATGTTTAAAATATTGCAAAATTATTCAAAATTGGAACGGAGAAAAAATATAATTACTGTTCTTAGTTAAGTGCTAATTTATCCGGAAAATTCAACGCTGATGAAAGAAGTATCAATAAACGCTATAAACATTAGACACAAGGAAGTCAGTTTACACAAATGACACGTCAAACTCATTCGAAATAAATATAACTTAACATATATGCGCGCAAATATAAGAACGACACAAGAAACAAGAAGAAAACTAAAATAAGAAAAAAAAAAAAAGGAAAAAGGAAAAAATTGATTATTGTCATGATGGGTGAATCCTTGAATATCATACCATACACTCGGTCAGATTTTATTTCGATTACGTTCTCCTCCCAGTAGTCTGGTTCCTTGACTGATCCACTGACGACGGTGCTTAACATTATGATAAACGATCCATTTCTCATCGCCAGTTACAAACCTGTCCAAAAAGTGCACCTGAAGTTGTGTAAACAATGAAGCACAATCATCGACACGTTGGTCTTGCGGGAACAATTTTCCAACCACGCGTAGGTCTTAGGATTTCTCACCGAGTTCCCTATCCTTAGCGGCGGGATTTACTGCAATTGCAGCTTCCAAATCCTCTGAATCGAGTCCTTTTGAACAACCCACTTTCTGAGCGACGGTTCGGTTCAACTCTCTGTCTACGGACGGAGAGGAACCCGAAGGAGGCTCCGCCGAAGGGCGGAGTCTCCTTCAGGGAGGTAAAACCGGCCCTGAACCCGTTTATACGGGTTCAAATGGGCTGGAACAATGATACTCGCCTAATGGCTCGGAAATGCCCACGTTAAAAAGGCCTTGTGTCACATGACGCCATCGTGAGGGGACGACTAAATATAGTCCTTTTGAACAACCCTCCCTTGGCTCGTCCTCTTGACTAAAATTCTCACTTTTCATACATCGAGCTCATGAGTGCACTGAAACCTTGATGCAACTCATAGAATACAATATTTCAAATATTCGTATAATGTGAAAGCAAAAAAGATAAAAAATTACTCATAGAACGTTTGTTTACGCGTGCACATTAAAGTTTCTTTTGACTTCCCACGTCACATCAAAGCTTCACAATTGGTTCTCGAGTTATTCAACAGAACCGGATACGTTGTGGACAAACGTTGCATATGACAGCAGGACTTGCAATTATTTTCTCTTATTCCCTTGTATTTTGTAAATCGAAAATGTTATATTTCTGTTAATGTAGCTGTTTAGTCATTGATTTTTTTTATAGAATTAGTAAATGGAAAAAATGAAAACATTTATTCGTGTGTCTCAGAGGGCTTCAAGAATCAATATTTCGGCCTTGTGGGATAAAATCGGTTATTATAAAATCATTTTTTCTGAGATTCTTGATTTTAGTTTTACCAAATATAAATTGCTTAGCATGAAAAAGAAAACAGTATCGAAAATGAATGTGAAAATAATGATTTTGTTCTGTCAGTAATGCTTGCGTTAATTCCTGACCACTGACAATTATTTTCTTTTAGATTTTCAATATACAGCATTTAAATTCACTGAAGAAAATAGCTAAAAAAAGGTTATTAATTAATGGAAAATTTCAATAATTCTTTGCAGACAAATATCTTCACCGGAATTTCTCACTTCTCAGTTCCCAGCCTTGACAGGGTTCATAATCGTTTATGCGCTCTTGGAGGAAACTTATTCTCCGTTCTGTAACTTTTTTTTCACAGAAGCAACGCTGCAAGCTTATCGCTATTTCCACGGCAAATGTTCAGATAACCTTTAGTCTTAACAGTTCCGAATT